ACCTTACAAGGCAATTGCCACAGTAATTCACGTGAGAAATGGTGAAGGCCAAAAGAATGACTGACTGATGCAGCATTGTAGGATAAGCACTGGATGGCAGTTCACTCACCAGCCGCTCCTTGAAAACCCTGTAGACAGTTGCTATGAGTCAGAACTGACTTGATGGCACTTATAATAGGTCTGAGTGTAAGGAAGATACAGTGTGAGTTGACAAGCCACCTCCAGACAGCATCATAAGTGACACTACAATCCCAAGAGCAAAGCTGTTGAAAACCATGTTTTCCCATAAGTTTCTAACAAATTCATGCTGCAAACCATGACCCAAGGAGTTTTTATCCTTAAAGATGATTATGACACTGCCGTAATCTTAGCAAATGTTTGACTACAGAAGGCAACACAGGATACCACTTGGCATTATGAAATTTCATAAATGCTTTGCTGCACATTATAAAATCTGGAAATTTTGATTTAAAAAAAAAAAAGCATGAATCCTGAGGTTAATACTCGGACACCTAAGGACAAAGGGGACATGTTTTAATGAAGAAAATTTCTGCTTAAGGTATATCTGGCAGCTAGGATACAAATACAAATTGGGATTAGTTCTCCTTCCACACATGACTGATCTACAAAGCTTTTCTTTTGTTCCAGCACTTTCTCATTTTGTAAGTTTTACAAAATGAGAAGCAGCCATTTGACAAATGTTGGAAACTGACCAAATGTATGGTTCTAATAGACAATTGTTAGGTTGGCCAGTATTTCTCAGAGATGATGTAAATACCGGTTTTGTTCAACACAAGACAGGTTGATTGCTATGATGCTGTAGTTACACTCAACCCTTATCCTACTGCCTTTCTCTCTCAAGACATCTGACAGTAAATCCTACTTGAGGCACTAAGCTTTCCAAATCTAACATAGTGATATGAAAGGCCTTTTACAGCCAACTTGTCATTATCAGTCCTTACAAGTCCCCAAACATTGCTTTTTCTTAGCAAGTCAGAGCCTTTGCCTCCATATCACACTTCCCTCCCTCCTCAAAACCTGCACAAAGCCATGGAAACTACTCTGCTACCTAACAGGTCCGACTGCTGTATTCCACCCTCTAGGGCTCCGTGCACTTTCTTCCAGCTGGGGTTAAGATGCACCTCCCCACCCCCCCAAGTGCCCACTCTGATTCCCAGGGCCCAAAGATCCCCAAATGCATTAACCTGATTTTTGGAGGAATCCTGGTGTGGTGCTGGGTAATGAACCAGACCACAAGGCCGGCAGTTCAAACTCACCAGCCACTCCTCGGGAACCCTATACAGGGTTGCTGAGCCTCAACTGACTTGACAGCACTTTTCCAACAGCAATATATGGGGGAAACGCATCAGTAAGTCAAATGCTTTTGTGTTCCATTTCACTACTTTACTGTTTAGAGAAGCAAACCAACAGTAAGGAATCATCTTGAAATGGCAGTCTACACATGCTAGACTCTATTTTTTGGCAGATCATTGCCTCTTCTGCAGTGGAGGTGATACCAGTTCTCTGGGAAGACATGCTGCATACATGAGAACCAAACTGAAACAGACTTGAAGTCCAGAGTTTAAAATTGCCAAAAAGTTACACAAAGGAGCATACAATTTTATTTATGCTAGGTGAGTCATAGAACAGGGACTGACTAAATCTTTCTAAAATGGGAAAAGTAACTATTTCAGGCATTGGGCCTAATACCATTGTAGTTCACAGCACCATGGCCCTTGCAGCATGAGAGCAACTACAGGCAAGATGGACAGAGTGCTGTTTTCTCAGCAATTATGGACACACCTCACAACTCACAGGGCTTGTCACTGTAGTTTGTCAGCCTGACAGAGTGAAGCAAAATAGGTCGGCAGCTGAAAAGACATGCTGACCAGTTTCACAGCCAGAAAACCCACGAAAATAAGAGTTGGCTGGGAAGTATTCATTCCCTGCAATTGCTTACTTTGGATTGACCTTTTGTAGTTGGTTTTAGGCTGCTGTGACAAGTGAGGGGAGAATGGGAATTTCACTGCAATCTCCAGTAGCCCTTCACTTGGCAATCATGAATCTTGACTCATATCCTGTCATGTATTCCATGTCTGTCTGTGTTGACTGAGAATAAAAACAAACTACGCTCTGGTAGCGTAGTGGTTACGAATTGGGCTGTGAACCTTAAGGTCAGCGGTTCGAAACTACCAGCCGCTCCGCGGGAGAAAGATGAGGCTTTCTACTCCCGTAAAGATTTACACCCTCGGAAACCTTGTACAGGGTCGCTATGGGTCAGAACTGACTCGACGGCACTTAACAACAACAACATACATGGAGAGATATGGAGACCCAGTTAGTCTGACCCAGTGCCTGGGTGCAACATTCACCAATTACTTAAGAAAATAGAACTAGTGATTATAGCAGAATTCTGGTGTGGTGCTGTAGGATCAGCACTGGACTGCTAATCGTGTTAGTGGTTCAAACTCACCAGCCACTCCTTGGAAACCATATACAGGGTTGCTGAGTCGGAACCAACTCAATGACACTTAACCGTGATCACAACACTATCAATTTTTAAATCTAAAATTCTACGTGGCAGTCACTGAAAAAATGAGAAATGCAATGTCAGATGTATTAAAAATATTTTATCATCAATTCTCTAGAATCCTAGCCATCTAGTACAGGGATAAAGTATGTGGTGGAACACTTCATTAATTTTAAACAGTGAAAAAAAAATACCTGCCAACAGGATGGATGGCATCCTACTCAGACTTGTACAGGCCTAACATATAAACTCAGGCTTCCTCATATTTTCCATAGAGCAACTGTAACAATATATATACCTCCAGAGCCAGATGACAGAATACCTGTATCATCAAATTCCATCACTTACATTAGGAGATTGAGCAGAATGGTTTGTAAATTATAAAGACAAAAGCAAAAGGTCAAAAAAGCCTATTTCTTTTATAGTGTTCTTTAAGTCTATCAGGAAAGAGACAAACAAGGTAAAGGAAGGCCCAAACTTGGCCTGAGCTGTCTTCAGGTCAACTCTACTATATGATGTTCTGTTGTCCAAGGACAAGAGCTCCACGTCATCATCTTCTGTTGTCACTTTCCAGAAAAAAGAAGAGGCTGCTAGGTTGCTGCTGCTACTTTGTGTTTTCTCTTCAGGTTTTCAGTATGCTCTGAGCAGTAAGGCAGGAGGCAGAATGTTAATACATGAGCATTCCACTTTCCAATCAGAAATGCCACCCTTCTTTCCACCCCAGGACTGGAAAGATATACAGTTTATGGATTCTCATTTTATTCTCCTGAGACATTATGCATGATCCATTATAAAACATACAGTTAATATAAAGTCCAAAGACTTATCATGGTTATGGAAAAAACACATAAAAATTAAACTACATGATAACATTGTGTGTGTGTGTGGGGGGGGGAATCATGGTTTCATTTATTTTCATAGGTGACAGCTTATGAGTGCATGACGTAAAAGCTTAAAAATCACCAAACTGTACTAAGAATATTGCAACACTATGAAGGGGAAAATCTGTGCAAATCCGTCTTTTTACTCAGTATCTGGTGTGTATGTGGGGGGTTGGGGGGCAGCAGTGGACTATTTCTTTAAATCTTGTTTATATTTAGGCATAACAAATTTAAATGAATGAGTAGACAACTGCCCCCTTTTGTAATTTATAAATAACAATACCTATGAAGGAAAATCAAAAGAAAACAGATTTTAAAAATCCAAATAAAACCAGCACTACTATTAAGATTTTTCTTTTAATATGTCATGAGATACCCTGATTGTAGATGTTTAAGGTACTTTTCCAACTGAAACTCCCAACTCTACTAAAAAGTTTCACAAGTCTTTTTGTTTCCAATTTGGTTAAACGTCATCCACCTTTTCATTTTCAGAGTTAATATAATACTAATGACTTTAATGGCCATACATTCTTATCTAATAAAGAAAACATATTTACAAATGTCAGAAACCTAGTTTTGAAACATTTGCATCCATTTTTTACTAAATCAGTCTTTTATGGGTTTAATGAAGGGCAGTAATTTAAAATCATTTATAAACACATTTTTGTTGAGGAAAGATGAAGAGGAGCGTAAATGCTGCATTTCTCCATTGGCCCCCAAAAGTGCTCATATTTCACAAAGGGATACATCAAAAGCAAACATGCAATAGTTGTTTGAAAACTTTTACTGCAATATAACAATGAAGTAAACAGTAATTCAACACCTATCAATCCCCCCACACAAACAAACAAACAAAATATAAACAGGAAAATAACTCTGCCTATACTTGCACAGCGTCTCAAATTATGTTAGAAGGGTCTCACATTCAATGATCAAGACATTTTAAAATAGCAGTAATTATTTTCATTTTAAGAAAAGGTTCCCCTCTCCCCCTGCCCCAAGTATTTAACATGAAAGAATGGGCTCCCTTACACATTAACTGTATACTTATTTGAAGCAGCAACAATAACCATCAATAATTTGGCATTTCTGTTTGCAGTTGCTCCAAAAAAATTTTCAATTCCACAAAGCTATTATCCAGTGTTGCCATGAAATAGAGACTGTAGATTCTAGGTAGCAAAGATTCTTTCTGAAACCAATGTTAAGTCAAAGAAATACAAAGCAGGGCATTACACTAAATTTCTGGATCTATGACACTAAAAAGAGTGAAGCCTAGGAAAAGTTACCTACTGTTTTATAGAAGAAATAAAGACCTGCAAAAGCTGATTTTTGGTTGTACAATATTTTACACATTGTGTGGATTTGCGGCATCTGCTAATTTAAGCAGACATGCACTGTATTTATCCCTGCCCTATATCCTATATCCCTCCCTTCCCACCCCAACAATCTACTACCTTATACCAAGTATTGTGGATATGAGCCCAAATCATCCCAGACAATCCAGTGAACAAAGTTAGTGTAATGCACTGGTGTGAAGTGTGAGATTAAAAAAAAAAAAAAAGAAAGAAAAGAAAAAAAAAAAGTTTCTTTCAATCTTCATCAAAATTTTGTTGTAGAAGAAAATTGGCGGCCAAATTCTCATTCTTCTCACAAGCAAAATATGCTTGTATCACAAGTCCTTCAGGAAATCCTAATGCCTTTAACTGGAAGAAAAAAGAAAAATGATTTAAATTCAACTCACCAATTCTGGTATATTTAATTTTGTTTGCCTATTGGGGATCCCAGAATAGCACTACTATAACAGACTAACACACAATACTTGAAGAAATACACTACAAAGGACACCAAAAAGCTCTTGAAAATTTTAATGAATTCCTCCCCATCTTAGATGTCCAATCAAAGGTCTAGATGAAATCTAGGACCTTTCCTTACAATTCCAAGTCTTTGTCCTCAGTTAAAGTTATCACATTCTGGGCCACAAGCACTAAAATTTAGTTGTCAAATGACTCCACCTACAGATCTCTGGCCAACTACTCTGACAAAGGTACCACGATAATTCAATGAGAAATTAATAGTTTTCAACATATGCCTGACACAAATGAATATCCACATGAAAAACAATGAAGCTGAGAACCATATGCAAAAATCAACTCAAATGGACCAGAGATCTAGATGTATGTGCTAAAATTATAAAGCTCTTAAGAAGAAAACACAGGAGTAGATATTTATGATCTCTGATTAGGTAATGGCTTCTTTGATATATTTTTTAAAGCATCAACAAGAATAACAATTTGTATCTCATTAAAAACTAAAATTTTGTGCATCAAAGCACTGTGTTAAAAAAGAGATTAGATAACATACAGAATGGAAGACAATTATTAGTCAACCATATATGATTAGTACTTAATACTTAAAATATATAAACAAGTCCAACTCAACAAGAACACAAACAACTTTAAATTGGACAAAGGATTTGAACAGACATTTTCTCTAACAAAGATACAAGAATGGTTAATGAGGACATGCAAAGATGTTCAATATTATTAAAAACTGAAAATCACAATCACAAAATACTATCTCACCATCACAAATATGGTTTATTATCAGAAAAACAGAAAACAAGTATTAGCAAGTGCACTGCTAGTAAAAAGCAAAATGGTGTGGAGAACAGTTTAGTGATTCCTCAAAAAGTTAGTAAGAATTACCCATGTGACCCAAAAATGCCACTCCTTAGTATAAACCCCCCAAAAGACTGAAAAAGCACATCGATGCTCATTGCAACATTATTCACAATAGCCACAAGGTGGGAATAACCAAGGGTTTACCAACAGATGAATGGATGAACAAACTATGGCAAATACATGTAACAAAATATTATTCGGTCAAAAAGAAAGGAAGTGCTGATACATGCTGCAACAAAGATATATCCTGAAAACATTGTTCAAAAGGAAATAAGACAGATATAAAGAGATAAGTATCATGTATTGCAGGACCACACTTGAACAGCAAATGCAGACACACAAACATTTATTAGTAGTTCCAAGGACTGAAGAAGGGAGAAACTACAAGTACTACTGAAAGGGGTTCTGAAAACCATTTGGAAATAGATAATGGTGATGACTGCTTAACATGGTGACTATAACTAATGTCACTAAATTGCACGCTTAAAACAACGCGTAAAGTAGCACATTTTTGGTCATATATACAAGGTGGCTTCAATATATTCACAGAAAAATTCCATTCTCAAGTAACTTTTGAAGCCCCCTCAAATTTGCAACAACAAAAAATTTTAAATAAATAAATGGTGGAGGGTCAGAGCAAAAGAGAAAGACCCCCAATGAGATGGATTGGCCAAGTGGCAGCATCGATGGATTTAAGCATGGCAACAGTAGTGAGGTTGGCCCAGGATCAGGCAGTGTTTTGTTCTGCTGTGCATAAGGTCGCTATGGGTTGGTACCAACTTGATGACACCTAACAACAACATATATAAGCTGGACTCCTGGTATGGTGCTGTAAGATCAGCATTGGACTGCGAACCACAAGGCTGGCGATTCAAACCACGAGCTGTTCCTTGGATACCCCATAAGGAGTCCTTCTGAGTTGGAACCCACTCTTCAGCACTCAAAAACAACACACATAAACTAGTAAATGAATTGTTCTTAGCATATAAAGGGGTAAATATAAGACAGTATTAAATTGTAACTAATATACCCTTGTTATTAAAACAAGCCATGTCTTTCATACTAGGATTAAACATTACTCTCAATTTCCTTGCTTTATGTAACATTTTATAATTTAAAAAAAAAAAAAAAAGGGTAATCAAATGGTAGCATTATATATTTTGAGGTTAAGTCATGATGTTTTGTCTCCTTAGTTTTTATATGTTAAATGATGTTCTGACTCATTGTTGTTGTTGTTAAGTGCTGTTGAGTCGGGTCCGATCCATAGCGACCCTGTACAGGGTTTCCGAAGGTGTAAATCTTTACGGGAGTAGAAAGCCTCATCTTTCTCCCGCGGAGCAGCTGGTAGTTTCGAACCTGCTGACCTTAAGGTTCGCAGCCCGATTCGTAACCACTACGCTACCAGAGCTCATAGCAACCCTTTATAGGGTTTCCCAAAGAGTGGCTTGTGGGTTTGAAACGCCAACCTTGTGGTTAGCAATCCACTGCTGATCCTATATGTGCCACCCAGGACTCCTATACAGGGTCACTATGAGCTGGAACTGACTCAATCTAATTCATTGTTAAGTGCCATCCAGTCGGTTTCGACTCATAGCAACCCTGTATAAGGGTTTCCAAGGCTGTAAATCTTTGTGGGAGCATAAAGTCTCATCTCGAACAGCTGACCTTATAATTCTCAGTCAAGTGCTTATTACACCTAGATCCATCACACTCCCTCTCTAATTCACTAAGCACAGCACAGTTATCAGCCAAAGGTTATTTATGAATATATTCTCCAGTGGTCCAATCTAGTTCAGTCTTACATTTTAAAATGATCATGAGAAAAAGAAAACAAAACAAAACAAAACAGGATGAAAAGACACTCAAATCTGATTTTATTGTTATCTACATCTTGTCCTGGAGTCCTGGTGTGGCACTGTGGGTTAATGCGTCAGATTGCAAAGTCGTTTGAACTGCAAGGTTGTTGGTTCAAGATCACCAACTGCTCCTTGGAAACCCTACACAAGGTCGCTACGGGTCGGAATTGACTCAACGGCACTTGACAGAAAGTCTTGTCCTGGTATGGTACTACAGGATCAGCATTGGACAGCTAACCACAAGGCTGGTGATTCAAACCCACAAGTTGCTCCTCAGAAACTCTATACAAGGTCATTATGAGTTGGAACCGACTCAGTGGCAGTGGTTTTGCTTTTTTTTTGCTTTTTGATTAAACCTATTCGGGCTGCGAACTGCAAGGTCAGCAGCTCAAGACTACCAGCTGCTCCAAGGGAGAAAGATGAGGCTTTCTGCTCCCGTAAAGATTTACAGCCTCGGAAACCCTGTACAGGGTCGCTATGAGGCGGAACCAACTCCATGGCACACAGCCATGCCATGCCATTAGACATAAGAGACACTCATAAAATGCTTCACTGAACAGAATACACATTATTATCAAGCACAAGTAAAATATTCTCCAGATAGACCTTATATTATGTACCAAAACAAACCTAAATAGATTTGAAAGAACAGAAATTATACAATGTTCTCTTACTACAAGGAAATAAAGTTTGAAATCAACAACAGAACGAAATTTGGAAAATTGGAAACAACACAGTATAATCCTAAATAAACAATGGATCACAGAAGTAATTACAAGGAAATTCTGGAACTACTTTGAGATGAATGAAAATGTAACATACTTAGGAGGAAATGTTGTAGCTGTTCACTCACCTATAGGGAGAAAGGAAGATCTTAAAAATCAGTAACTTAACTTTCTATTTAAGACATTAGAAAATGAGCAAACTAAAACTGGATTAAGCAGTAGGAGGAAAGCAATGAAGATAAAAGGAAAAAAAAAAAAAAAAAGATTTAAAAACTAAAAAACCAAGAGTGAAAAATGACAAAGCTAAAAGTTGGTTCTTAAAAATGATCATAAAACTGACAGACCTTTAGCTATGCTGACTAAGGAAAACAAGAGGTCTAAAATAAAAAAAATGCTAGTGGGACAACTATAGGCCACAGAAAAATTAAAATTTCCCCTAAAAAGCCCAGGCCTGGTGTATTTTACTAACAATTGTACAATTAATGCCAACTCTTAAAAAAAAAAAAAAAAAACAGAAAAAAAGGAGGCGGAGGCAACACTTAGTTATCCAGGGCTGCTGTAACAAAAACATCACAAGTAGATGGCTTTAACAACGTAATTTTCTCACAATTTAGGTTAGGAGTCCAAATTCAGGGAACTAGCTCTATGCAAAGGTTTTTGTCTGTTTAGCTTCTGTTTCCTTGGAGGTATTTCCAGTGGCTTGGTATCAATCTCATCCCATCTCTGCTTGATAGCTTTTTATTTTAATCACTTTCATATCTGAAGATTGTTGTTATTGATGGTCCCATCAAGTAGAATCCGATTCACAACAACGCTACACAACAACACAACGAAACACTTTCAGGTCCTATGTCATCATCATAATTGTTACTTCTGAGCCCACTAGTTTGGCCTTTGTATCAGTTGTCTCATTAGGGTTCTTTCACTTCACTGGTGACCCTTCATTTTACCAAATATGAAGTCCTTCTCCCGGACATGAAAACATATCCAAAGTATGTGAGATGAAGTCTCACCATTCTTGTTTTTAAGGAGCACTGTGGTTATACTTCTTCCAAGACAGATTAGTTTGTTCTTCTGACACTCCATGGTACTTTCAATATTCTTTTCCAACACCACCATTCAAATGCATCGATTCTTCTATGTTCTTCCTTAATCATTGTACAACTTTCACAATGCATATGAAGCGACTGAAAATACCACACGTGGGTCAGGCGTACCGTAGTCTTCAAAACTATTATTTTTGCTTTTGAACATTTTAAAGAGGCCTTGTGCAACAGATTTGCCTAATGTAGTACAAGTAGATTTCTGGACTGCTGCTTCCATGAGTGTTAATTATAGATCTAAGCAAAATGAAGTTTTTGATTTAACAGTCTTTTCTCCATTTGTCGTGATGTTGCCTGTTGGTTCAGATGTGAGGGTTTTGGGGTTCTGTACAATACCA